CATGTCCGTCGCCATGGAGCGTCTCAACAAGAATTACTACGTTTTCACTCGGAAGAAATCACAACGATCTGAGGTGCCGCGATGAAGAAGAGGTTTACAAGCATTCTCATGCTTCGAGATTTTTCCACTGCGCTTACAATTCATGCGTTTGCAAGGTACAAGGCATACGAAGAATTTTAGTTTTTGTATTGTCCAATACATTCGCAATGGAGGACAATGCTCTCTTCTATGGTATTACGAGGCTTGGTGGACTCTTCCTCGTCTTCTTCTAGGGCAGCTCTCTCCGTGGGGGAGTGCGCGGCTCTTCTCCGGCAATGGGGCAGCGCCAAGAATCTCCTCGAAGGCAGGAAGCTCCATGGATTTCTGCGCGACACCGGGCAAGACCAAGACACATTTCTTGGGAATCTCCTCGTCCAGATGTATGGGAGCTGCGGTAGCACGGATGAGGCATACGCTGCCTTCTCCAGGATTTCCAGGCGGAATGTCTTCTCGTGGAACATTTTAATCACAGCATTTGCCCAAGACGGGCATTTGCAACGAGCGGAGATTTTGTTCCAGAAAATGCCCGAGCGTGATCAGGTCTCCTGGAATGTGATCATCGCCGCTTTTTCTCGGGCCGGCGACATCGATCGGATGCCCGGGCTTTTGGACGCGATGGAGCGGCAGGGAATCTATCCAAACAGGCTGACTTTCGTGGCTCTTCTCGACGCATTTGACCGCAGCGAGCTGGATCCATCACGATTTTCTGATGAAGGTAAGCTCCTTCACTCAAAAATCTCGCAGCATGGTTTCCATTTCGATCTCCAGATCCAGACTGCTCTGATCAAAATGTATGACAGACTGGGGAGCGTCGAGAAAGCCATCGCGGTGTTTGATCGGATCAGCAGTCCAGACGCCATCGCGTGGAACAGTCTTCTATCAGCATTTGCTCGGAACGGAGATCTCGACGCCGCAAATGCTTTGTTCCAGCGAATGCCGGAGCGAAGTTTGGTGTCCTGGAACATCGCTATCGCTGCGAACCTCCACTGCGGCCGTGCAAAGACCGCTCTCTGGTTGCTCCAAGTTATGGATCTCGACGGTGGCGATACCGCAGATAGAGCAATCTTCATCACTGCTCTCTATGCTTGTGGAGTACTCGAAGAACTGAGACTGGGCGAAGCCATCCACGCCGAGATCGCTGCGTCCGGCCTGGAAACAGACGTTTGCATCGGAACAGCGCTGATCAGCATGTATGGCAAATGCCACCGAGCTCTACTCGCTCGCCATGCTTTCGACAGGATCAAAGAGAAGAACCAGGTGGCTTGGAACGCGATGATCACAGCATACACTCAAAACGGTCGCTTTGATCTTGCGAGGGGTTTGTTCGATCTCATGCCTGGATCAGACGTCGTGTCCTGGACGCTCATGCTCACGGAGTTCGTGCAGAAGGGACTTATCCGGGAAGCACGAGAGATCTTCGATCGAATTCCCGTCCGGGACACGGCTAGCTGGAACGCCATGATCTCAGCTCACGCAGGAAATGGAGAAAGCTTGCGAGCTATCGAGCTTCTAGCAAAGATGGATCTGGAAGGATTTGAGGCGGACAGAGCTACGTTTATCGGCGTCTTAGCATCTCACTTCGCTCCATCCGAGGCAAGGTTGCTCCAGGATTTGATATCCAGCTCGGGTTGTCGCAGCGATAGCTCAGTCGCCACCGCACTTGTGAGCATGCACGGCCGATCTGCTCGCCTCGCCACCGCGCGCGAGATCTTCGATGCGACTCGCGAGAAGAACGTCGTGCTGTGGAGCGCGACAATTGGGATCTACGCCGACAATGGACTCTTCGACGCGGCCATGGAGCTCTTCTTCCGGATGTGCTTGGAAGGCGTGCATCCAAACGACGTTACGTTCGTGAGCATTCTCTCGGCGAGTGCTCACGCGGGGGACTTGAGCAACGCGAGGCAGTGGTTCTTCTCGGTGGCGACGGACTTTGGGGTGGCGTATACCAGGGATCACTACGTTTGCATGGCGGACATGCTAGCGCGTTCCGGCCTCATGGATCAAGCACGGGAGCTTGTGGGTGATATGCCGTTTGTGCCGGACAGCTGCTCGTGGAAGACGGTGCTCGCTGGATGTTTAGTCGCGGGGAGCTTGAAGCAAGCCGAGAGAGTTGCTTGCAGTGTGATTGAATGTGAGCCGGAGGACTCGTCGTCATATATCATGCTGTCAAACATCTATTCCGCAGCGAAGGACCAAATTCTTGTCTAGCTAATTTCCTGGCGGCAAGCTTTCAACTTTGGAGGAGCTAGAAAAGGTAAGCTTCCATTGTTTCGTGATTTCACTGTAACATCCAATTCTACAGGAAGATAAGCATCAGTACACCTTCGTGGACTTCTGGAAGAAGGTATTAAGATGTTTTGGATATTGCTGGATTCTTGGTGCAGCAAACCTTTGACTTTCCACTCTCGCAGCCCACTAACTTCAGTTGCTAGATTTCTCAATAGGATATCGCGGTAAGATTTCTTGACTTTCTAGCAGCGTTTCCCAAGCTTGTCGGCAGATCTATGCGGTAGATCGGTCATTTTGGTCGCCCAGAAGTGGTGCAGTAAAGTGAACTTCTCATGGTTACATCTAAGAGGTAAAGTGCGTTTCTTCAAAGGATACTTTTTTGGTCCAGCACACATTTGACTTGCGACTTTCTATGCACAGCCACCAACTTTTAGCAGGCCGAGCTCTCGGTTTAAATGTTATCCGCAGCAGCAGCAGCAGCACTCTCATCTTCAGGAAACTCGCTTCACTTCATCCGGGAAAAGCTAGAACAAGCTCTTTCTTGATCGTGGTATGTGATTTCACGAGTGAAAGCTTTGATATCTGTGTTCACTAATTCGTGAAAATCTAGCAAAGATGGCCTCGCGCTTGAACGTCTACGCCGAGAAGCCAATGACTATCAAACCGGCGCGTCCCACCAAGAACCAGACCATATTTCTCAGCAACTTGGACCAGCAACTCTTCTTCCACGTCGAGATGCTTTTCATGTACGATGTCCAGTCCCCGGACACGGGAGACGTGGTGGACAACGTACGCAACGCTCTCGCCGAAGCTCTCGTTCCATACTACTTCGCGGCGGGGAGATTCAGAGTGAACGAGCAAGAGAAGAGGCTTGAGGTGGAGTGCAATGGAGCCGGGGCAGACTTTGCCGGGGCCTACTGCGATTCCACCATCGCCGAGCTGGGCGATTTGCGAATTCCCAATCCAGACTTCCGGAAGCTGCTCGTTTACCCGGTTGATGTAAAGAGGATCGAAGATATCCCCTTGTTCTCTATCCAGGTAAGCCAGAACTTCCTCTCTTTTCATTCTTTCTTTGTTCTTATCGCTCTTCTTTGTGTTCTTGAAGGTGACGAGATTCAAATGTGGGGGATTCATTGTCGGGATTTACACCAGCCATATCGTGTTTGATGGGATTTCGGGATGCCAGTTCTTCAGCGACATCGGCAGGATCTCTCGCGGCGAGTCCATCGCGGCCAAGGCAACCATGACTCCCGACAGGACGACCCTCCGCTCGCGGTCGCCACCGAGAATCTCCTACGCCCACCCGGAGCTCATGAGTCTCCCGGACATTCCCGCGAGGCTGCTCTTCAACCCGGCCTCGTACGACGTCTCCAAGCCCCCAGTGCACGCCTTCAAGACGTTCTCCTTCTCTCTCGCGCAGCTCGATCTTCTCAAAAAGAGAGCTATTGAGGGAGGAGAGGTCTCCCGCTGCTCCACTTTTGAGGCCCTCACAGGCCACGTCTGGAAGGCACGCACCACCGCTCTTGGGATGGACCCATCCTCCAGGGCCAAGCTCTTCGTGGCGATGAACATCCGGGACAAGCTCAAGAGCCCGGCGCTGCCCGACGGCTTCACGGGCAACGCGGTGGTGGCGGCGCCGTGCGTTGACACGACCGTTGACTCGGTAGTCAATGGTTCGCTGTCGCTGTGTGTGCGCAAGGTCCGGGATGCAATCGCGAGCGTGAACGAGGAGTACATCCGGTCGGAGATCGACTGGTGCGAGGTCAACGGGCACGGGATCATTGACCTGCCCGGCGGCATGATCATCACACCCTGGTCAAAGCTGCCTTTTGATGGCGTTGACTTTGGATGGGGGGCGCCCACGTACATCGCGGCCCCGGTCAACGACAGGCCCGAGTACGTGCTGGTGCTGTCCAGCTGCAAAGGGGATGGCGGCGTGGACGTGTTCATGGCGATGGAGTTTCACAAGATGAGAAAGCTGGAGGAGTGCCTCAGTATCTGAGTGTTTTGTTTGTACAGTAAGATTCTATAATCTGTCAGCAAGTGGAAGTATTTGTATACTTTATCTGGTACAACAGCGAGGTCAAAGCCCCGCTCATGATCATCCATTGAAAGAATTCAGCTGTTCTTCTCGCCCGCCAAGGCCGAAGTCGCGAGAAGAAGCGGGACCTTGGTGGATCAAACTGTCTGGCGGACACGATTCGCTAAAGGAGATTAATGGTTTCTTTTTCTTTTTCTGACGGATTTATACACACTACAGTGACAGAACTTTCAGGCATTTGGACGGAGCTAAGACATGTTACTGCTCGTGGATCAGCCCGTCCACTTCTCACAAAATCGTTCAAGATCAGCTCGTCGCAAAGGAAAACAGAGCTTAGAGCAGCTTTTCGCGGTTCCAGAGTTTCTGGTGGGGATTGACTGGTTTGCATTTGGAGTAGCAGCAGAGGTTTTCAAGATCTGGAGCAGAGGACGAAGCAATGTATGTCTCGAGCAGTTAAGGGGACGAGGAGTCCCTCGAAAAATGATGAGAGATCTATACTTGAGGAAGGACTCGTGGCGAAAGTGAAAAGAATCGCAAGCATTCTCGTCTTTGATGAAGAGTTGACTCCAACAGTGTTGAGAATGGAAGAGTGTCGGATGAGTAAAGGAGACCTCGGTCTAATTCACTCCGCAAACGAGGGTATATTCTTACCATTTGAAATATAAATATTTGACTAGCCCACAAGCACGGGTTGGGATATGGCTGCGTCCGTCGGCGCCAGGGCGATGGCGGCAGCAATTCATCCTAGCGTTGCCCTAGGGAGTTGTCGCGACCGACCACGCCCACAGCGAGCGGCGGCGGGGGCGGGGGCGGCGGCATGCATGACCGTCACGGTGAGCTCTCTCGTGTTTTCCGTGTTTTAGGGCTTAACAGCCGTCCATAGCACTCGAGGAAATCCTCCTCGCTTCTCGAGAAAGGCGCTGGCGATGGCCGCGATGAGTGGCGCGCCGTCCCGGATTTGTGGCGATCGTGCTCGGAGAGATATGGCAAGAGGGTCGCGCTTGTCGACCCTCGTCGCGATCCTCCCATCCGGATGACTTATCTCCAGGTGAATTTTTCCCTTTCTTCCGAGAAAATTAGAAGTGACTGAGTTTTCTAAGTGGGAAGGTCGAGGAGGCCATCCTCAACTTTGCGGAAGCCATGAGAAGCTTGGGTGTTTCGCCCGATGAACACGTTGCTCTCTTTGCTGACAACTCGTGCCGATGGCTCATCGCCGATCAAGGTATGGACAAACGAAACTTAAGTCTTCTCGTGCCCCACACTTGAAGCTTTGCCAGGAATTATGGCCATGGGAGCAGCAAATGCCGTTCGAGGCTCAAGATCATCCGACGAGGAGCTCGTTTATATTCTCAAGCACTCCGATAGGTAGTTCTTCTTTTTAGCTTTTTTTCCTCACTCTCGTGGTTTCCATTCGCAGCGTAGCTCTTGTCATCGACACTCCCGAGCTGCTCAAGAGGCTCGAGGCACGGTTTAACGATTCTTTGTCGCTTAAGTTCGTTGTCCTTCTCTGGGGACAAAAGCCAGAGAGCTTCGCATTTCCCGTCTTTACATACGAGGAATGCATTTCCCTTGGCCAGAAAAGCCGAGAAAAACCTGGCACGACAAGTAAAATCCTCTGGAGCTTCGTCCCTCTCAGGCATTGATACTGGCTTTATTTCTGCGTTTTGTTGCAAGGTGCTCTTCCCATCCAACCTCAGGATGTTGCCACCATTGTCTACACAAGTGGAACAACTGGAAACCCGAAAGGCGTGATGCTTACACATGCAAATATTATTCACCAGGTTCTTGTGAAATACTTCGTTCGAATCAAATAGCTTTTGTGACGATCTTACGAGATTCGTTTTGTTACAGATGAAGTATTTAGATCAATGTATCCAACCCGTACCAGGAGATAGATTTCTGAGCTTGCTTCCACCATGGCATATGTACGAAAGAGTAGCCGAGTACTTCACTTTCACGCGTGGAATCGAGCAAGTTTACACCAGTGTCAAGTTTTTAAAGGTACACTAGTTTAGCATTTGATTTGTAACTCTCATGGATGCGCAGGACGATTTACAAGCTTATCCCACTCAGTATTTTGTCTCTGTACCTCTTGTTTATGACACTCTATACAGGTACGGTATTCTCCAAGGCTCCTTTTCTTTTTCTATCTCTTAAAGCTGAGCTTTTCCATGCTGCAGCGGTGTCCAAAAGCAGCTATCGAAAGCGTCTGGCTTAAGGAGAGCGCTCGTGATGGGATTTATGGCAATCAGCTCATTTTTCAAGGATCTTAAACGGATTTCCGAGGTTATTAACATCAACATATGCTGAATCAATTTATATCTCACATTGATGTACAGGGAAGATCTCTCACTAGAGCCAGGGAGCATCCAAACAGGCTTGAATGCTTTCTTGCAGGGGTAATGGCTATGATATTGTCTCCTCTACATTTTCTCGGGGATAAAATTGTATTCAGCAAGATCCGAGCCGCGATAGGAATTCGAAAGGTGGGAAAAAGCTAGATATCTGAAGAAGGTTTTAATGTTTTGATGATCTCAAACAGGCAGGAATAAGTGGAGGTGGCAGTCTTCCTAAGCACGTCGATAAATTCTTCGAGGTACTCATACATTTCTGGTTTGATTGCAAGCAGCACCAGTTTTTGTAGGTCGTCGGCATCACACTCTTGAATGGTTATGGATTGACAGAGTCCTCTCCCGTAGTGTCAACTCGAGCTTTCTCCGACAATGTAAGTTCTATTCGAGCTGCTCACACAGAGCCTCCAACATGATTTTGTTTTCTTGTTCTCAGGTTCTCGGAACAGTTGGAATGCCTCTTCGAGAAACTGAAGTAAAAATTGTGGATCCCGAAAGCAGGAAAACCTTGGCTAATGGAAACAAAGGAATAGTGACGGTTCGTGGTCCACAAGTTATGAAAGGATACTACAAGGTTTGCTTTCGAGTTTCACTCTTGCATCACATCTCGCTCAGTTTTGTTGTCGCGTAGAATCCCGATGCAACACAAAAAGCCATAGACGGTGATGGCTGGCTTGACACGGGTGATCTTGGCTGGGTCGCCCCAGTGTGGAAAACTGGCGCTGCTAGAAAATGTGGAGGAATGTTAGTCTTGGAGGGGCGTGCAAAAGAAACTATTGTTCTCTCAACAGGTTATGGTGTAAGCTTTTGCTTTTCTCAAGTATTCATGAGAATCATTTTTCAGGTGAGAACGTGGAGCCAACAGAGATTGAAGAGGCAGCACTGCAAAGCAGCCTTATTGATCAAATCATGGTTGTCGGTCAGGTACTTTGTATTCTTTGGTTTCGTTTTTGTGAGATTCATCTAACGTACTTTTGCTGTCTGTACAGGACCAAAGGCGCCTTGGAGCACTGATAGTTGCAAGCAAGGATACAGCAGCCACATCTGCAAATGATTTGAAGAGTTTGGTTCGAGAAGAACTTCAAAGATGGTATGATATACGCTCCCGACTTTCTTCGGCTACTTCTAATATGTTTGGATTCTATGTGCAGTACGTCAAGTTGTTCTTTCCAGATTGGGCCCTTTGTCATCGTGAATGAACCATTCACAGTAAATTTAACTTTCAAGCTCAATCGCTCTGGCTGAAATGGGTTGTATATTTTCAGATGGAGAATGGGCTATTGACACCGACAATGAAGCTTCGCAGGGACGCCATTTTAACGCGCTACCGGAACCAAATCGACTACCTATTCAACAAGACATTATAAATATGTGTACAACAATGATTCATCATGCTTAAACCGTAATAACAACTTACTATGTGAAACAGCCATTTTCACTTCAATGGAGAGCTACAAACCTCGTACACAAGGCTAAATTCTTACGCGGCAAAAACAATGCGATAAAATGGCCTCTATACAATCGAGCACGGTTACGATCTGTGATTATGCCAGGAAAGGGCAATTGCCAGAAGCGAAACGTGTTTTTGAAAGAATGCCTCAGCTAGATACTGCATGCTGTAATGCAATGCTCGCGGCTTATTCACGATACAGATTGCTAGATTTAGCCCATCAAACCTTTGAGAGCATACCTCAGCCGAATCTCATTTCATGGTCCACCATTATCTCTGCTTATGCCCAAGCTGGGCATCTTGATAGCGCCCGAGAACTGCTTCATCTTATGCCTTTGCACAATCTTGTGCCGTGGACTGCGATGCTCGCAGCGTACGCTCGAGCCGGCTCGCTCTCTCTAGCAGAGCATATCTTTGAGATGATGCCCGAACGAGATCTTGTATGCTTCAATACTTTGCTTGCGGCCTATGCCACGCTCGGGCTCGTAAACCAGGCCGAGAGATTCTTTCATGAAATGCCCCAGCGAGATCTTTGCTCGTGGAATAGTCTACTTTCCGCAATGGCCATGCCAAATGATGCCCAAAAGGTTTGGGAGAATATGCCCCAGAGAAATCTAGTTTCTTGGAACACAATGCTGGGTCTCTACTTAGATTGCGGTAAATTGGATGCCGCCAAGCTGGTGTTTGAGGACATGCCGGAGGGGAATCTAGCAGCGTGGACTTCCATGATCAGAGCATATGCCGACGCCGGATACCCAGAATATGCTCAAAGTATTTTTCTACAGATGCCGAAGCACGACCTCGTGGCATGGAATGCTTACCTGGCTGCGTATAGTAACAATGGTCATGTAGATCAGGCAAAGAAAATATTTAATAGGATGCCATGGAGAGATATAGTGTCGTGGACAACCATAGTTGTCGCAGCTGCCCAGTATGGGTATTTGGAAGAATCCTTACGATTGCTGTATTGCATGCCGTACTGGAACACTTTGGCGTGCAATGCCGCGCTCGCAGCCTTGGCGAAAGCTAATAGAATGCAGAAATTAGAAATCATGATCGATTATATTTTTGAAAAAGATATTGTAACGTGGAACATACTTTTGACTGCTTTTGCCACGAATGGGGATTTTGAGCGAGTCATGGACCTTTTCAATTCTGCGTTCGAGAAAAATATGGTATCCTGGAATATTGTGGTATCCTTTCTTGCTTGCAAGGGCCAATTAGAGGAAGCGAGAATCTATTTTGAGACTATGCCGGAGCAAAACACTGTACCATTATGCGCATTAATTTCTGCATACGCCCGAATGGGGCACCTAGACGAGGCAAAACAACTTTATAGAGCTGTACATATTGAGAGCACTGAAATAAAAACGGCAATGATCAGCGCGTTTGCAGAAAATGGCTGTGTAGAAGACGCCAAATACCTGTTTGAAAGTGGTACAAATCATGATTTGGTGTCGTGGACTGCTTTTATGACCGCATTTGCCATTAATGGGCATTTTTGTCATTGTGGGTCCTTGTTCCTGCGTATGCCCGAAAGGGACGTGGTTGCATGGACCACACTGCTTGTAGCTTACGCACAGAACGGCAGGTCCGACGAGGCACTATACGTTTTCCACTCCATGAACGCCATGGACGTGTCCGTGGATGGATGCTTTGGCTGTGCGCTCGTGGCATGCAGCCACGTTGGCAGCGTCTACGCGGCAAGATCTTGCTTCGTGTCGATAGAGATGGACTTCCATGTACAGCCCGTGAAGCTCCACTTTCGGTGCATGATCGATGTCTTGGGGAGAGCCGGGTATTTGCATTCTGCCCAGGAGCTGCTCAAAACCATGCCCTTCGAGCCCGAGACTGGGGACTGGAAGTGCCTCTTGGGGGCATGTAGGAGCTGCAGATCCTCCGTTGAGTTTGGGAATTTCGTTGCCAAGAATGTCATTGACAAGGATCCGAGAGGAGCTGCTGGTTATGTCCTTGCAGCCAACATGATCGTCTCTTAGTTCTAAGCTAGAGTCGATGAGTTCTAAAGATCTCAAACTTCGACCATCAGTCGTGATGGTTGTTCAATTGTTCATGGCTATCGATTCTCGGCAGCACGAAAAGTAACAAAGGCTATGGCATTAGCATAGCATCCACTCTCTCTTCCAGCTCTTTGGCAACCAGTGTTTGGATCCCAGGGAGCGTCCAGTGCAGCACCCGGTTGCCAAAAAACATCCGGAGGAGACCCGAAACAAGAAGCTTGTCATTGGCGCTTACCTTGCGCGCCACCGGGAAGCTCAGAATGCTGCTCTCGTAGCCGTGCTGTCACAAACAATCGCTCCTACGAGCAGCAGTCTTATCTTCTCAGTCACAGGCGAGAAGCTGCGTTCGATCTCCTCGCTGTGCACGAGCCTGGCGTTGAGTGCCCTGGCCGCCTCCTCGGTTCGCAGCCTCACTCGTTCCTCCAGCTCCACCAACAAGCTCTTCTTGTCTGGATAGCGCTGGAAGCTCTCCCAGAGGAGCTTGGCACTACCGCTTTTGATCGTCCCTTTGGATTCAAGCTGACGTCTGAATTCCTTGACGCTGCTGCTCGAGATCTTGTTTCCGGGCTTGCCGGGCTTGACCATCACGTAGCCGAGAGGATGGAACTCTGCACAGCCCCACCAGCCATCGCCGAGCACCAGGCAGTGGAGCCTGTTTGCCGACGAGTTCCTGATCGCTGTCCCCATGCCCGCCTGGCTCGGTGCCTGGTACATACAGTCCGGCCACTTGGTTTCGTCCCGCCCGCCTTGCACGACGACAAGAACAGCGCTGGGAAGACTCTTGTCTAGCTTGAAATCGTAACTGTAGCATTTGATCACGCCATTAAGCTGCTGCTCGCAGCGAGCGGAGGTGGCTTTGCCTTTGTACTTCCGTGGTTCTCCGTCGACGGGCTTTGGAGAGAATCGCGTGAGTAAGTTGGAGAGCAAAGCCGTGAGGAGCCATGCCCGCGTAGTTCTTTTGAGACTGCCGTAAGCGCTGCCGTGCCTTTGGATCTCAAAAAGAAGCTCACTCTTCGCTCACGAGGGCGCCATCGCCACCTGGACCAGCGCTGCTGTGTGGCTCCATCAAGTTTTTAGGGTTCTTGCGGGCGGGAATCTCCGTTGGAGCTTGAGAACTCTAGCGTGATGAAGCCACAAGAATCTTGTCAATTTCGATTCGAAAGAGCATCGTTCCCACGCAGCAATCTTTGTAACGAAGCAGGATAACTTGGATGTAGTAAGTGTAGTGAAGTGAAAATCTAGAACAGTTTAAACTACGATGGAACTATTTTACATCATGTGAAATACTGGAGTCTTGGTGAAAAACTCGGTGATCACCAAGGCGAGGAAGCCAAGCATCGCGGTTCGCCCATTCCAGCGCTCCGCCATGGCTCTAAATGGCCCAAGCGATCTGCTGTCCGGGCTCTCGCCCTTAAACATGGGCACCAGCGACGCGTACGCGAATAGCTGTGCCACCGCCAGAAAATGGAAAAGACCAGTGCTCCCCGGCGAGTAGAGCTGCTCCGCCACCGTTTGTCCCGTCATTCGCTCCACCGCGAATGCCCACACCAATCCTACCATTGCCTGTTTGACAAGTTCACGTTACTTACTTGGTTGATCTAGAAAAAAACGCGAAGAAAAATCACCAATCGCTTACCAGTCTTCCGTTGATCGTTTCCGGGCCGGCTCCATCGAACGCCATCAAGCTGGGGAACGATCGATCGCCAGTCTCTGGTCGCCTCTCGACCTCTGGCCTGGGATAGAATGATCCGGACGATGGGACGGCTCCAAACACGGAGCGCTTCTCCGACTCGTTCTCGGCCTGGTTCTTGAGCACCTCCTCGCGGGTGATCTCCTTCTTGGTGCCGTCGAGAACGCCACTGATGCCGCCATCGCCACCATCCCTTGATTTGTTCGAGGACGCTCTTACTACTACTAGATTTCTTGTCCCGATGGAGCTTGTGGATGATTGCGATTGGACATGGATCTTGTTGGAGATGAGCGAGGAAGAAGAGAGAGCTGCGATACCGCTGCCTGTGACGAGTGCCATTGTTTTGAGCTGGGAGCTAGCTAGAAAAAAATTCAACAGTGCAACAATGAGCTACTTTCTTTGGCAAATGACACACAGGTATTTATACGGAGTGGGGATTGTATAACGTGGCAAATTTGACTTTCCATACGTGGCAAAATTGAGGTCTCGGCTCGTGTCCACTGTATGTGTCGCATCTTGTGCGGTGAAAATGGCCACAGGTAAAAGTTCTCAAGGTGTGATATTTTTGAACTTTCGTTTCATTTCACCATTAGCACAGCAGGATGTTGTTTTTTTTCTGAAACAATTGTCTGTATATAGTTATGTATGACATGTTTAATAAGCAAGATCTAATCATGCTGGAGGTCTTGATGGACTTGCAAAAAAAGTGGCAAATGCCAAGGAAGGTTACTTGAGAGCATGTCTACTTGACTATCTCTCCTGTATATCACGAGAAAGAAAAAGAAACGAGTTGAGAGAAACAAAAGAGAAAATCATGGAAAACTCATACAGTCTTGAAGAACCAAAATGCAGTCTGTGTTCGCAAGATGGTAAAGAGCTTGTGAGCCACAGTACTGCCTTGAATGCTCGCTTATATTTTCTTGTGATTCTCTCCGTGGCACCAAACCATCGATTGAGGCAATTGCTTCGTCTAGAACCACAATCTCCGTTCTGTTCCTTGCCAGACAAAGTAGCTGCTTTTCACCCATGCTACAATTCTCCCCACTTCCAGCACTATGAGTTATAATACCAACATGATCAGTGGAGGCTTTAGAAAATACCAACAGAACATACTAACTTCAGAATCTGAACCTTCTCAGCATTGATTGTTACCAATTTTGGCACCTTCCAGATTTTCTTTAGAATATTCTAATTTTGTTTCCGATTTTAAGACTAAAAAAAAAACATCACACACATTGTGAGGGCCAAGCCAAGCACTCACAACATGAAATAAGTTAATATTAACGAGGTCAAAAGTACACTAAAGGTTCACACTTTCACTCGATAAAGTTGTCCAGCTTACACTAAAGTTTGTTTAGCAAGCTTGCTTACTTGGCCATCATCTCTTGAAATGCCTTTGATTTTACACCACCATCAAAGAGTTGCAAGCGACACAAGGCCATGACTTCCAAAGTGTCACTGCATTGTTAGTAATATAGAAAAAAAACATTTTACACAAAATAACTGCTGTTTATCTTTTAATTTCCACTTTTCTTGTGCTTCTTTCATCTTGCACTAGATGAAAGCCTCCTCAATAGGACTGTTTTCCATCTTTCTGTGAGAAGGCCTAAGTAGAGGGCTCTTGGAACTGGGCAAAAGCTTCTTAGCTCTTTTAACATTCTTGACATGCCCAGGCTCTTTCCATGTGAGGTAGCTCGACTTATCATAAACCTGTGTGCTATTTAGTATGCTACAAATACCTTCCACACTGGCTACTTTGCTGCGTCTAGAGTTTTTCTCAATGCTGTATCAAGAAAAATCTTCTTGACAGCTTCCTTTGCTTCTCTCTTGATTCAAGGGATTGTCAGGACCGAGACTGACACCCCAGAGTTCAAATGCTGGGCGAGTTTTAAACCAGCACATCTGTATAGAGAGGAACTTTGTCTTGTAAAATCAAATAAAAAACAAATATTGCACTCATGATAACAACAATCATGAATGTTGATTCATATTAGATTTGAGACAAAAAAGTGCTTTTTAATAATAATGAAAAAATCTATAAGATGACCAAAATAAACTTGCAATTATCTATATAGGAATCAAGCCCAAAAGATTATAAGAATTTTAAAGAATCATTGTATTGGATTTAGTAGATTTGTGTGAATTATTTTTAAGTTGCACTTTTTCTATTTATTATAAACATATACATTTATGGAAAGGAGTTAGTGCAATTTTTTTTCTTTTTTACCAATTAGTAAATAATACCCTAGTGAGCATCATGAATTTATAAAAACAACTTACAAAGCTAAACAAATTAAAGACATGCAAATATCTTGGCAAGTACTTTCATTAACATCTACATTTAAAATGCCATATTTTTTAAAAGTAAGAATGATAATATTTTTACTTTCCATTCTTTTTTCAGCCCACTAGATGAAAAAAACATATGGAGCTGAATTAATGTATACCAAATTCCTTGGGCATCATTGATTTTCTTTACAAAAAAAAAAGCAAATAAAATGAACTCAATATGGAAAGCAATCAACAGGCTATTACAATAATAGTTCCATCATCCATCACTCAAAGCAAGGGAAGTTACATATAAGCAAAAACAAATCTTCCCCCACTCTGTTTAACAGAGTCTAATGAATGTTCACTCTTTCTTAACGATACTTTTTGAAATAAATGGGTAAGAATCAATGGATATTATTTTTTTTTCCGAATGCTCAAAATCTAAAGCTTCCAACCTATATGTTTATATTTATACTTATCTAAAATTTTAAAGAGTTCAGTTTAGCTAGCTTAAACTTTAGTCAGAGAAGTGAACTCGATCAACACCATGCCATCACAACTCCACTGGTTATTCTCAGGATAGTTGTTCTTGAATGCCACAAGGTCACCCTAATTTTGAGGAGCCACAAGCTGAGTAAATAGAAACGTCAAAACTGTGTCGGTGCTGAAGGGTCAAATGAAAGAGGGCATAAACCCTCATGCCAATTTTTATAAAACCAATCGTACAAGCAGTTCCTGTGCATAATCAAGATGCCCGACTTGGGCACTATGGTGGAAGTGTATAAGTAGCGAGCATTACATTCCAGCAGGCAGGATCAAGCTCTGGCATTCTTTCAAATAATGGCAATTACGTTTTAAGTAAAATTTACATCATGTGGAACACTGGAGTCTTGGTGAAAAACTCGGTGATCACCAGGGCGAGGAATCCAAGCATCGCTGTTCGCCCATTCCAGCGGTCCGCCATGGCTCTAAACGGCCCAATTGATCTACTGTCGGGGCTCTCGCCCTTAAACATGGGCACCAGCGACGCGTACGCGAAAAGCTGTGCCACCGCTAGGAAATGGAAAAGACCAGTGCTCCCCGGAGAGTAGAGCTGCTCCGCCACCGTTTGTCCCGTCATTCGCTCCACTGCGAATGCCCACACCAATCCTACCATTGCCTGTTTGACAAGTTCACGTTACTTACTTGGTTGATCTAGAAAAAAACGCGAAGAAAAATCACCAATCGCTTACCAGTCTTCCGTTGATCGTTTCCGGGCCGGCTCCATCGAACGCCATCAAGCTGGGGAACGATCGATCGCCAGTCTCTGGTCGCCTCTCGACCTCTGGCCTGGGATAGAATGATCCGGACGATGGGACGGCTCCAAACACGGAGCGCTTCTCCGACTCGTTCTCGGCCTGGTTCTTGAGCACCTCCTCGCGGGTTATCTCCTTCTTGGTGCCGTCGAGAACGCCGCTGATGCCGCCATCGCCACCATCCCTTGATTTGTTCGAGGACGCTCTTACTACTACTAGATTTCTTGTCCCGATGGAGCTTGTGGGCGATTGTGATTGGACATGAAGCTTGTTAGAGATGAGCGAGGAAGAAGAGAGAGCTGTGATGCTGCTGCCTGAGACGAGTGCCATTGTTTTGAGCTGCAAGTTAGCTAGCAAAAAATTCAACTGTTCAATGAATTTACAATGGGCTACTTTCTTTTACGTTTCAGATAAATGGGCACACAGATATTTATACGGTATGGGACCGTACGTGGCAAAATTTAGATCTTGCTCGTGTCCACTGTATGTGTCGCACATCTTGTGCGGTGAAAATGGCCGAAGGCGAAACTTCTCTAGAGAATGCAAGGTGTGATATTTTGGGCTTTCGTTTCGTTTTCCAATCGAATTCGTACACGGGGATGCTCTTTTGTCTGCACAATAAGCGTGTTAATGTAATGCAGTTAGAAAGACTCGAGTGCTCGTCTAGTGCATCAAACATGACTATCTCCCCGGTATCACGAAGAAAAAAAGGCAAATTTCAAGACTACTTTCAAACATTAAACAAGATGAAAAAAAGACTTTGTAATCCACTTGAGAGCTGGTTATCTAGTGTGGATTTGGCAAAGCTTCATTCATATACACATTTCAAAGGGATTCTCAGTATTGTTGAATGTTATGTAATCACATATTCAAGTTCTACTAAAGGAATTCCCTCTTTCTGGTGATGTTATATATGCTCTAACTTCTCAAGATCAGTCTTCTAAGTTACCTTCATCTAACAAAAACATCTTTCACAATGCACTCAATTTGCTTATGTTTAGAAAAATTAAGGATAACATATAACTCAAAGACAAAGAAAAAAAAAGCACTTTCTAGTCCTCATTCCTTATTTTGTGATGGGAAAAAGTCCAATAATGGCAAGCTAACTCATTCTTGCAAACAATCACAATAACTTTAGCTAATGAATGCAAATATAAAGCAGAGTTGAGTAAGCTTTATGTTGGGTGTCAAGCATCTTTACATGCACTTGGGTTTTTTGCTTCTTTCCAAGCAACTAAGTGGGAGGGTTCAGCTTCAACATTTTGGATTGCAAGTTTTTCATAAGAAACTACCTTAACAGGCCATGGCTCGCCCATTAATTTGATCTAGCCATTGGTAGCCATCCGATGAAGTCAAGTTCTCTGCCAAAACGTGGCTGACAACTGCCAGAACCCAGCTGCCAGCTGCTAGGTTTTGGAGAACCAGGCTACCAGGTGCCAATTCTGGAGAACCCTTTTATCCTCAAATAACATTCTTCCATGTATTTATTAACAGTCTCGCCACAGCTTGTTAAGGCCATTCCATGGGCACGGGCTTGCTCGTTCCCTCCAGAACTCACTTGCCAGGCTAAGACCTGGCTCGCCTGTTCTGGGCGGGAACATGCTCACCTTACCTGGGAACTCCTTCATCACCTTTTAGCTCAATTGTCATCTTGGAGCATTGAGCATGTTCCTTACACATCAAATGATGTTGATGATATACCAATGCAGCAAGGGTTGTGGACAACTAAGAGAATCTATCCCACAGATTGCAACACAATAATGAACTTGATTAAATTGAAGGTGCAAGTCTTATTGGCTGAATTGGTAACAATTCTTATGGATTTGCCGATTAAAAATAATGAGCCAAAGTTATTGTTTGCCAGGAAGGAGTTGACATTGAGGAGAGGAAAGTTTTACAAGATTTCCTTGGTGAGTTTTTAAATGTTTTTGCATGAGACTACTTGGAGCTGAAAGGCATTTCACCAAACATTATTATCCACAATTGAAGCAACTCAATCCTCTTCTTGAGCCATTGGTTAAGAAAAAAGTCCACAAATTGATAAGGAAGGCACATGCATTCCTTTTCCCACCAATGTCAAAATATATTTTCTGTCAATTTTTCTGAGTTACAAAAGGATTACATGTAACACAGTGATTGGTATGAGACAGGAGGAGATATTTGCTATGGAAGAGAGGCTTGAGCAAGCCACATGAGATTTCTTTTAAAATATGAGCCTAAGCTTTGTCAATAGGGACAACATCACTTTTCTGGTATATCCAAAAAGTGATTTTTATCACTGTTGATCAGATTAGATTCCTTTATTGAATGACAGCTCCAACTAGGTTGACAGATTCAACTTCTCACTACAAATTATCAAGTATTTTTCAAAGGCATAACTTGTTTATTTAAAACATATAGACATCTTTAGAGTCACTGCAACACCTGTTTAAGCACGGGACCTTCCTAATGTTTTCTAAGCTAAGTGATAAGTTTATTTGGCACCACCATAGCATGACCATGGCTGATAATTAATTGCAGCTCACTAGGAGCTTGGTGGAGAGTAGTTACAAGCTGTTTTGCTGAGGTGTTGTTGTGGAAGTAGTGCCATGATGCTGCAAAGATGATACTTAATGTCAACATCTAACTTACTTTCTTGGTCTTGATCCTGGAAGTTTTGGAGTAATTCTAGTACTGGTCAATTCCAGAGGTAGAAGCATTAGGCTGTAATGCAGCAGTGATAGAAGTGTCGATTCTAAATGATTGTGGGCTAAATTTTATATGGTGTGAACCCAGTGCAATTTTCAGCACAATCATCCTTCATCACACTTGACAATGCTAAGAGTACATGTTATTGGGAATGGATCCAAGGCAATGGGCAGATTTCTCTTGTCCTAGGAGCAATGTGATTCTTGGACTGTGTGTCTTCTCTAATCCATGGCTTTCACCCACAACACCCAATGAACTTCTTCTCTTTCAGCTAACATGCCTGTTATTAATTAGCCAACATGATTTTTATTACTGAGCCTGGGATCCAACAGTCAACAGGCCTCCCCACTATCACTTTGTATATATAGAGCTTTATATATATATAGACGAGCGCCAGTCCTAGAAAGCGCTTGGCCAAGCCGGCCGAGGATTCCAGCCGCTTGCACGTCAGCCAGCTCTCGAGGAATGTGAACGAGTCCCATCTCAAGGAGATTTTCGGTAGGCTCCCATGGGTTCTAGCGCGAAACTTTGATCTTTTTGCTTTGTGTAGGGAACTATGGGGATATTATTGCTGTGGATCTTGCGATGGACAAGACGGTAAGGATAAAGAACACTTCTTCCTGACAGCATTCTCGCGTAGGCTTCTCTTTTTTTTCTTCTAAATTTCCCCTCTTTCCAGGTGAATCTTCCAAAGAGATTTGCGTACGTGGATTACAAGAGCAAATCGGATGTTGAAAAAGCTCAACAGTTCATGGATGGGGTTGGCATTCTTTTTCTTTCTTTTCTTTGTTTTTTTTTTCTGTATGGACTCGTCATCAGTGTAAAGCTTACAAGAAAGGTATCCCTGGCACGAGGGGTGTCTCCAAAACGAGACGCTGCGCCACCGCGACGAAGGCCACCAGCTTCGTCGCCGGTAAGGCGACGGTCACCTTCACCAGGATTCCGAAGGCGACGGAGGTCTCCAAACAGGTAAATTTTCTCTCGGCCGTCCTCATCGTGATTCTAATGCGCTATATGAATTTGCAGGAGCCCAATACGAAGGCCTATGGGTCGTCAGCGATCGCCAGCTCCTTACAGGCGCAGGTATGCAATAGAAAAGCTTTATGTGTTCTGAGGTTTTACCGCTGTACTATTCGCAACCAGGTCACCACTTCCAGTCAGGCGAGTACGTACACCACCACGGAGGTCTTCCCCAGTTCGACGTCGTTCAAGGACCCCTCCACCGAGGCGTATGCGCTCGCCTCCAAGGCGGATGATGCGATCGCGTTCCAGATCGCGTTCGGCTTTTAGAAGGTTTGTTGTCCTTGCTTCAAATTCTTGCTGGCTAACAGAATACTGTCTTTCCAGAGCAAGATCACCACCAAACAGGCGGGGCAGGTGAAGCTCCTACTCATCCGGATCTCCTAGTCCAGTGAGAAGAGTAAGTAGCTGTAATACTTCTCAATCCTGTTTTTGTTTTCTCACTGCTGCAAAAGCAGAGATCACCTGTCCGGGGGGGAGCAAGGAAATCTACGAGAAGCAGAAGTCCAAAGAGGTATCCTTTCGCTGTCTTCGCTTTCCACTAACTTTCTCTTTGATTGTAGAGCTACCAGCAGCAGTCCCAGCCGAAGTCCTGTTTCTCCAAAGAACACCAACCAGTAAGCTCTCAAACTGCAATCAATTCAGAACAAGAACAGTCTTAATTCTTGAGGTTGTGACAGGGCAACGAAAGCCAAGTGAGCTGCGGGCTGCAAAGTCGATTCCACAGCGAGTCCCTCAACCTCTCTGCCCAGCATTTTTCCTGCATTATTTATTTTTGTATAAGCATGTTTAATAGCCTGCTTGCTTGCTTGCATTCTTTCTTTTCGACTTACTGATAGTTTGTTTGCGCTTGAAATTGCATGGCTGTGTGCTTTTGTCGAGATAGACTTTTGATGAAATACAACCTCTCTTTTGGCTTGGAGTTCGAGAGCACGGCTTTTTCGCGTTTGTTTCCAACGCCTGTGGCTACAAAGGATAAAGGTTTCCACATTTTGACACCTCTGCTTCAGAAACACAGCTTTGTGGACACCTTTGTTTTTGGCAGTGGTCCCAGTAAATTGTTCTTGTGCTTCCTGGCAGATGATAAGGAGCTTGAGAGATTGACACCTCTGAGGCAAACATCATCCACCCAGAGGCAAGCTTGAACACGTCCTCAACAATGGCATGGTTAACATGCTTTGTAAAGATTATGGTTTTGTTTACCTGCGCCATCTTGCTGGGCCTCTCGACGATCTAGTTAATCTGTGTCCAGAAGGCACGTCATTAAAATGTTAAACCGAATTCAAAGCACCATTCGGAAATCAACTTTGACTATGGGTTGACCGGGCAAGCAAGACTTTGTCCCAATTGTTTTGCACGAGGGAAAAGGTGGCTGAAGCAGTGGTGAAGGTGCAAATTCCAACTTCATCACGTCACCTTTGCAAATATGCCACTTGGGCTATGTTGAGATGGTTGTTATTATTTTGCTAAGTTTCTATATGAAACCATGAACTATTTAGGAGGAGCCAGAGAACGTCGCCTTGAGCTGCCGGACCGCATTCTCATCAATAAAGAACGTCTTGATGAGCACCTCGTCCAGGATGTCCGATCCAAACATGGAGCTTGCAATGAGCTGGATGCCCGGTGACTGCGAATCCAGCGTCACGACGGCCATGGCGGTGGTGTTGCCAACGTTGAGCTGCCAGTGGATCAAACCCCGCGGGAAGATCATCACGTCGCCTTTGGAGATGACCCAAGCAAAGAGCTGGTTCTGGGTGGTGACGAATCCGGCGTACAAGCTCCCTTCCACGACGTAGATGATCTCCGAACTATTTAGGAAAATGTAGCCTTGAGCTGCCGAACTGCATTCTCATCAATAAAGAAGGTCTTGACGAGCACCTCGTCCAGGATGTCCGATCCAAACATGGAGCTTGCGATAAGCTGGAAGCCCGGTGACTGCGAATCCAGCGTCACGATGGCCATGGCGGTGGTGTTACCAACGTTGAGCTGCCAGTGGATCAAACCCCGCGGGAAGATCATCACGTCGCCTTTGGAGATGACCCGAGCAAAGAGCTGGTTCTGGGTGGTGACGAATCCGGCGTACAAGCTCCCTTCCACGACGTAGATGATCTCTGAGCCTCGCGGGTGCGTGTGTGGAGGGATGAGACCGCCGGGAGCAAAGTCGAGCCTGGCTATGGAGAGGCCGAGAGAGTTGAGCCCCGGATAACTGTGGACGAAGCCAAACACCGCGTCGGCTCTCGATGGGCCGCTGGTGTTTGCGGAGTTTCGAAGGCCCGAGAAGATGAAATCCTCGGTGGTGGTGTTGGCTGCTCGCTTGCAAGGGTAGCCATTGAGGGTGAGGTCCTTTGCGAGGTCGGCCACACAAAAGTCCTGGAGGGGATCGGCGTCGGAGGCTGTGATCACCTGGAAGATTGGTGCTGCGATGACGAGAAATTGGAGGAGTGTGATCATCATTGTGTTCTTGAGTGATCCATGGAACTTGAGGAAACAAACGAGAGAGATGAATTAGAAGAGTGACCTCTTTCTTTGATTGAGTTGTGAGATGGTTGTGAAAGTATTTAAAAGATGGAAAGGCTTGGAGAAGGTTCCATGAAACACAGCAGTTGCGATGGGATCCGTCACTCTGTGTTTGACAATGTGGTGCTCTGCCCACGTCTTATATATTACTTCTTGTATCCTTTGAAGTGGGCCACTACTTATTGAATAAATCTTTGCAGCGTTGGTTGAAGAAATCTTACTTACGTCATTATTATTAATATTTTATAAGAAATTTATCTGTAACTTTAGAATATTCTTCATTCTAATGGTTGTAATTTTTTCTGCCATTCAACTTTTTCTAATTTGAATTTTCTTAGTTAAATTAGTATAAATAATGTGTTTATGTTTTGAAACCATTAAAACTATAATTTTGTCACTCCTATGAATCATCTTTAGAAAATAACAAATGATACCAGTTTTAATAAAATTCAGTAACTCCATTTGTCACCTAAAATTTTAGAAGTGCTTAAAATGTATAAATTATTTGTTTTGTGTCTAAAGGCCATTAATTTTTTTCTCTTTCCACTACTTTAGTACATTCTAAGATAAACAATTCAATTTATACAAAAGATCAATAAAGTTGAAGTGCAAAATAATGAAATAGTAGTTAAAAATTATAATTAATATTTTCTATATACTCTCCAATTTCTAAAATGGTTTGGATCATTTAAATTTTTTTTATAACTTAGAGTTTTGTTTTACACTTCTAAACAAGATTTATTACTATTTCTAAATTATTTCATCCAAACATTAAAAAATTTAAACTTATCCACAGCGATATATAATAAAAATCATACAAAAATCATAGGAATGATTATAATGTAGGACAATGTGAAAAATATTTTTATTAAAGATGAAAATTATTTAATTTAAATGTGTAAGATTTGTGTGTGTGTGTGTGTGTGTTTCTCTCTCTCTCTCTCTCTCTATATATATATATATGTATGTGTGTGTATGTATATATATCTATGTGTGTGTGTGTGTGTGTGTGTATATGTGAGGGCCAAGTGTACGGTTACGATGCCGTATACTAATATTAGCGTAGTGGCTGTCGGATTGGTTTCAATCTGGACCATTCGCTCTTGTATATAAGCTAAGGTTTTTGGGCTAATTAATATGCACATTTTTATATTCCCTTTCCATATTCTAAGCACTCACATTGGTGGAGATGAGGGGCACTTTTGATTGTCCCTAAGAAGTACTTGAATTTGGGATTTTGGTTTAGACCTAGCTTTTGCATCGTCTAAATCTAACTTTTTCCATTTTCTTTCTTTTTGCTATTTCTTTTCAGGGTTTTAGTTTAGATTTAGCTTTTTGCATTGTCTAGATCTACCATTTCCTTCTAGCTTTTTGTCATTTCTCTTCTTTTTCTCTTTTTTTTTCGTTCATCTTCATGGCAGATTAACAATCTCCTCTTTTGACTCTAGAGCAGCAGTTGGTACAATTGCTTGATACTATGCGCTTGCAATTGAACAACCAAACTCAGTTGATGGTAGCGTTCACGGCACGTGGTACAACTCCTCCTGCTCTTGGTGCCAATCCTTGCGTTCGACCGGAGTTCTTTCGCGGGAATCCTGGGGATGATGTGTACCATTGGTTTAATCACTTCACGATGATTGCCACATATCATTCTTGGGATGATGCTCGACGGTTGCGTGAGTTTCCCACGTGTCTTCAAAGGGCGGCGTTGCAGTGGTACAATGGTTTGAGCGCAGCCACTTGTGGGGATTGGAGTGTTCTCCCGGACGTCTTCAAACGCGCCTTCGAACATGCCGATGATTTTGATGATGCTTTCCAACAATTGCATCGTCTTTGCCAAGGGCCATCTGAGTCGGTGATGCAATTTGGCGTTCGTTTCCAAAGTCTTTTGCTTCGTGCAGAGCCAAATATGTCGGAGCGGATTAAGCTAGGAATGTTGTGGCCAGCACTTCATCAAGATCTTGTCGGACTTGTGCATGCACTTGCTCCTGCCACCCTTGACAATGCTCTTCACTTGGCACAACGTTATGAGACGTCGCCTTTTCCACTTCTCGCTGCACGTTCTTCAGCTCCACTTCTTATGGGTGATGGTCCTGTTCCAATGGAGGTTGATGCTGCTGCTGCTCGAGTCCAAGGACAAGCGCGAGGACGTGGTCGTAGCCGTGATGTTCGCTGCTGGGTGTGTGATGAAGTTGGTCATACTTATCGGCATTGCTATCGTTTTCCAGATTGGCGACCTCCATTCCTGGGTGGAGACCTTGGCGTCAGCAACGTCTTATGGGTGTTGCTGCAGTGGAAGGTCTGGACACCGAGATGCATCCGGGAAACGAGGAGTCGTGCAAGTAACGGAGGGACCTTGTGCGAATAAATTAGTGACCCCTCCATCTTTCTTTCAGGAGTATCATCAAGGGGTTCACTCGGCACCGGTTCATCCAGTGTTTACTTTCTAAGCTCGTTTTTATAACAAAAGGTCTCCTATTATTCTCTCCGTATTGGTTGATACAGGTTTGAGTTTATCTTCTATTGCTCGACTTGTTGCCACACGTTGTCGTCTACACTTGCGTCATGCGGCGGAACCAGTTTTCATTCTTTATGGCAACGGCCATACACATGCATGTGCACGGGATGAGGTGGACCTGGTTGTGCGTGTGGGCGATCTCAAGCTTGAGTTGCAGTCATTGCGGGTGGTGCCGAGTCAAGCTTTTGACTTCATTCTTGGTATGGATTGGTTGCAACACAATCCTGCCAAGTGTGACTTTGAGGTTTCTCCCCCTTGTCTCATACTTCCTTATGTTTCATCCATTCCTCTTACTTCCATACCTCTTCGTCCCTCTACTTCTACCTCTGCTTCCATTACTTCTGTTCCCCCACTCTTTCCTTCTGTGTTTCCATTTTGTTTTGTTTTTCCCTTTTCCAATCCCTCCGATGATCTTTGTGTTGCAGCAATTGATCAGCACAAAATAAATAAGGCCATCTTCAAGGCGATATTGAGAATGTAAATGCCTGAAAGGCAAGTCATCAGCAAGTGATGCAGGATTCTCAAACCCATCTCAAAACCTTCGAATCCACAGCTCAATCTTTTGAGCCTCGCGAACCTCAATAAAAGAAGGTAGATTTTGCTCTACACCTTGTGGACATTGAACGTTAAGGACAGCAACTACTGACGACACAGAATCCTCATCTAGAAAATCCACAGATGCTGACACTCACAATCCGGAGATCAGATGAAAGATGACGTTGATGACTTCAGCAATGCTCGCAATGGTGTAGTGCGATCGGAAAGATGATCCACAAAACAACCAAGATATTGCACCTTACCCAAAAAGCACTGCACACCATTCACTTTGAAGTAGGGAACTTTAGAACAGCCACAAGTTTGTCAGGATTAACTTGCAAACCCTCACG